CACACACACACACGGGATGAGGATATCTCTGTATAAAACCTACACACAAAGGACGTCCCACCCATCTGTTCCTGCTCCCGCTCTCTAAACTCTGGAGGTTAAAGTTGGACCGACGCGCTGATCGTTGTTACTGCATGAAGACTGAGGCGCAGCGGGTGATCTCCCGTCACATTTCACAGCACGCCGATTAAAATCACTGCGCCACATACATACATACATACATGCACATATACATGCATACATACATGCATACATGCATACATGCATACATACATACATACATACATATCAAGTTACATGCATCCATTAGGGAAGAATGAAGAAGGCAGCACAGACAGGAAGCTGCAGACGGGAGTTCACAGTGTAGCACTGCTGACATCAAGTTGTGAAGTGGCAAAATTACAACCAACTTCAGTTGGGAGGCCCGGCGACTTTTATTTGAAGTGATTTCAAAAGAGGTGTGTTGGAAAATGTGCCATGTGCATTGTCGGTTGGTTATAAGTTTGAACCAGAGTGCATTTTTGATGGGATTTGCGCGCCAGCAAAAGCAGATGTCGCTGAATTCACAGGCAGTTGCCAGAGTCAGCCGGCCCACCGCACAACTGCTGCTGAAAATGTGTCCATGTCAAAGGTCATGGAGAGGCGGGAAGAGCCTCCATTTGCACGCACAGCGCTCCCCCGTGAACTGGATGCAGCAGGTGTGCATGGTCAGTGAGAGCAGGCTGCCATCATCCTGCCACACGATTTGTGTAAAATGGCACTTTGCAGCAAAATGTTGAAAGTATGCAAGAGAAAGAAAGGCAAATGGGCATTTCGGTAACAGCAGTTAATATTTCAGGGACGACTTGGAGCACAGCGTGGAGTTGAAGCATTTATAAATGCATTTAAAAGTATTTAAAGGACAGATGAGGGAATTTAATGTATGTATTTTTTATTAAATAAGGGTGTTGAAGACAGGGTGAGTCAAACTTGTGGTTACACCTCAGTTCATACGCAAAGATTATAAACCAACAATACATTCTATTGAAGAAGAAGCATTTTGACTGAATTTGATGGTTAAATAACTTTAAAATCAATCTTTGTTGTTGCATTCGTGTCTATTTTTCCAATAATTCAACAGGTTTCTGAAATAAAAACATGGCTTAGTTTGTGAATATACTCAAAATATGATTAATTAACTTAAGAATTTGAATCAAGCTGGCACTAACTTTGCGATATCAAGTGTTTGTCTACAGCAGAATGTCTTTAAATAACGATTTCTTTAATAAGGGTGAAATGTAGCAATATGACTGTCTGTTTCTCGTCTTTTTCATGTGGTTGATGAGTATCGGAACAAAACAAGTGCTGTTTTGTATTTGCATGCTCTTTAATAAGTAGCACACTTGTAGGGTGAAATGATGGTATGGAGTAATTGAGAAAGCCTGGGCCATTTGTTTTTAATTTCTTTAAAATCCTAACACCTGATTCAGTTTGGAAACAGACATTAGCTTTCATTGGTGGCAGAAAGACGGAATCACCAAATGCTTTATTTTGCGTCCTGCACTAGGGGGAGACAGCAGCACGACACAAGACTCACTCGTGGATTTTTACATGTGAAGTGTGACGCAAAGTGCAAGGAAACATTGTTTTCTCAAACACGTCAGTATTTATATGGACATCGTGGTGATTGTCCTGCTGCTTTAGATGTTTCCTAAAAGTAAAAAGTTTAAGGGTTCTTGAAAAGTGATGCCTTGTTTTGTTTTGCACAACACAGTGATTTAGAAACGGCATTGACGCACCTTCAGCTTTTCCACGTGTCGTCACGTTACAGCCACAGACCTCGGTCTGACATTTTACCTGTGTCCAGGGTGAAGGCGAAAGCGAAATCTTTGTTTCCACAGATTTTCCACTTGAGCCGTGGATCTCTGCAGCTCCTCCAGATTTGACTTCGGCCTCTCGCCCACAAGCTACATGCATGCTCAGTGTGAAATGAAAGACGCAACTCAAGCAGTTGATGCAGGCTGAATGCTGGAAGTCAATGTCAACAACATCTAATGGGTTTTATTTGACGGGTTGTGAATAACACTGTCAAGACACCGTCATAAACACGACAACACGTCATGAACGCGAGTGAGTCTTTATGAATATTTATGACTGTTGTCATAAAGTGTCATTCGGTAAATCATGACACTTGATACAAATTTGACTTTATTCAAAATGTCTTATGACAACTTGAAATTAATCAAGAAACCATGATCAGACATAAATTTGTCTTAAAAGTATTAAACTTTAGCTTTAATAACATAAAGCTACATAGTTTTTAAAGTTTTTAAAGCACTAAAGTCTCCCTCACCTCCCACCCCCTCACTGAAACCAGGGACTGTCCAAACCAGTTTGAGCAAACACAGGGAGTGTTTTTCCTGCCTCAAGCAGTCATTGTGTTTTTGCTTTGTCCACTCAAGACACAGGAGGAAAGGAGGAACTGATCACCTTAGGCGGACATAACTCGAGCCGCTTAGGAGAAAAGACAGAAACCAGATTTAAAGTCAAAGAAATGCTACTTTATTTAGGCGTAAACCAACAAACAAAAGAGAAAATAACCAAAAGAACTGCATAGGAAATGTTTAAAGTCCACAGAGTACAGAGAGCGAGCGGTAAGGCGGCCATTATAATATAGTCTCCTGTGCGTTACCTAGACTCAAGGCCTGGCTTTTGCGCTTCTGTCCCAATCTGTGTGCATGTGTGTGTGTGGTGAGAGGTTAAACTGGAGCACACACACACACAGAGCGGGCTTTGGATCAGCAAGAATCAGCCTCGGTCGTCTAAATTCAGCTGGCCACGCCAACTCGCCCTGCCTCTTGGACTGAGAGAGGATACATTCAGTGGATTTCTGCTTAGATATTGCAGATGCAGCGCACAAACACGGAGCTCACGCCGCACCCAGGCAGGCTCTGGGAGAGCAGGACACGGAGGGGGAAAGAAATCATTAGAAAAAGAAAAACAAACCATCTGGGCAGCGTATTTTGGCTGATGTCTGAGCTCGTTTAGAAACAAACACGACTATTTGTTTCGCGACACCAGACGGCCCCTTCCGCTCCGTCCCGTAGCTCTCCCAGGGGCCCGGCGCAGGCACAGCGTCAACAAGAACCCATTTGTCCCTTTTCTTCACAAGATACATTCTAAAAGGGCCTATGAGTCGAGTGGTGTGAAGCATTTGTACTTTTTGTCAGAGAAAAGAAAGGTGACAAAGAAAAAAAAACTAAATATCAATAATCAGAGGAAACTAATCAAACTAATAATTTTTTTTGAGCAGATTGAGAATTTCTTTCATAATGTTTAAATGGACACGCAAACGAAAAAAAAATCAAGACTAGTTCATAAGAGGGAAGAAGTCACTACATTATCACTACGGGACTTTTTTTTTTTTTTCAAATGAGACACCTGCAGCACGAGGCTGCTGGGAACAACCTGAGTTTTGTTTTCATTTTATTTTTTTTCCCCTGTCTAAATTTTTCCTAAGCCATATTTCCCCCAATTCTTTTTTTTTATTTTTACTTTTTTAAGATTATACAATCATTTAAAACAAAAAGGGAGGTCTATGACCTTGCATGTTTCGTCTGGTGCAGCTTCGCGATTCTTCTTTCCCTGGAGAAGTTTTAAGAGGCCAGAGAGGAATAAAAAAAAAAAAAAGAAAGAAAATCATAAATTTGCAACCCTTACATTCAAAATTGAGCACAGTTCATTACAGCTCCAGCAGGGGGTGCAATCAACTGACCACGTTTGCTTACCAAGGGGAGATGAATGCTGGTTTTTGTTGGGGACGCAGCTGGAATTAAAAAAGGGCAGATGCATTTAGTAAATTTTTACTGCCTTTTGAAATTAATCATAGGCTGTTTGACCACAAATTAATGTAAGGGTCGAAACTCTCAGGCCTCTCGGGGACAGAAGCGTCGCTAGCTGAACAGGTTGCGCACTGCAGAGCCTCAAACCAACAGGAAATACAATCGCAAAGGTCAAAAGTTAATTCCAACCAACAAACTTTTTAAACACACATATACACATCTTTGGGTATACATTTTGTTTGGAAAAACAAAAACAAAACAAAAAAAAAACATCCCAACAATCAGCTACCCACCCTATCTGAGCCTTTCAACACCTATCTGGGAGACATCAGTATAATACAAGAACTTTTAAAGCATGCAATGAAACGAAATACAAATAAAGGTTTAAAATACATTTTTCCTCTTTAAGAGTGAAGACCTAAGGATCTTAAAGATAGAATTCTGCAATCTTAATTTTAAAAAAAAAGTGTAAAAGGAAAAAAAAACCTGATGCAACATTGAGTGAACATGTCAGAGTAATACTGAAAAGCAAAAAAAAGAAACAAAAAAAATCTCATTGGTTGATGATAGGCGTTTTGTTCAAAGCAGCAATATTTTTTGCACTCAAGCTGGCTCATCCTCCTGTCTGGCTTAAAGGGATATTTCGCTTCAGTGTCAACATGTTTGTGAAAACGTAGCTTGTTGAGATTAATACATAGAGGTTCGTCGTTTCTGTTATACCATGATCAGCACTTCTGCCAAGCAGCAGACTGTGGGCTAGCTAACGGAGCAGATAGCCTGGCCAGTTAAACTGCTCCCTGACATTTGTTGTGTTACCAAGTTAATGTAACACAAAAGTGATTCTAAAATGTATAAATGTGTTTTGCTGCTTAAACAAAAACAACAAAAAATTTAACGCTTCGCACATGTTCTTTCTCATTTTGGGTAATTATCTTAATACCATGGTATTTGTACTCAAGACAATCATAGTATGCCTAGTGATGACTAGTAAATAGTCATCCCTACTCCCTCAAAGCTCAGTTAGCTTCAAGATTAGTAATCTTTGGAATAAAACCAGAAATATCCCTTTAAATAATGAGCCAGCCTGCTGTCACACATTAGGCGTAATTGGAGATTACAGACTCTTTTCAAGCAACATCAAGCATCCTAGAAATGTACACTGATAAGATTGGTATGTACACTGATAAGATTGGTATATTGTGCTGAAATCTGAGGTAAATTCATGTGCGTTTAATGGCCGACACTTTTGAGCTGTTAATTCTTTAAGACCAGTTTTTTCCTCTAACCCTGCGTCCCTCGGCAACACAGAGACATCTTCCACATGGAAACCTGTATGTTCAACGTCAGTGTGAGGTTAAGGTAAATGGGGCCCAGGGATTGGGTTAGGGTTAGAGTTAACCCAGTGCATCAAAACCAGAGGAGGAAGATTTATCCTCAGTTGTTCTGATTTGAAACCTTTTGATATAATGGTCCAGTGACACTTCCTCTACAACATCGCAGTCCAAATGCCAATCCTGTTTTGGCACAGAACTCTCACAGGTCGTTTTTGGCACAATGCTCGCATCGGAACGATTCGTTTTGTTGCTGATAAAAAAAAAAAAAAAACAAAAGAAAAAAAAAAGGCAATAATTTAACCAGGCAGGTTACAGTAGATCAGGCAGACACGAAAGCTGTTTTTATACAAATTCTGTTTCAACGCTAAACAGTACAACGATCTTTGGTCCTTGTGCTGAACGGTCAAACAAGGAAGTATTGGTGAGGTAAAACAAAATCCTTCAAGAAAGAGTAAAAACTGAAGTATTCAGAAGGAATAATAAATTGAGGTATTCAGAAGTTTTAAATGCACCGTTACCATGAGGGACAAAACTTGAGGTATTTGGAAAGTTGAGGTATACGAGAAACGAAGTGAGAACATTGAGGTAAAAGTTATCTGACACTAAATCTCCCAAGCTGTGTCGACAAATCGTCAATTCAGAAGCGAGAGTCAGTCTGAGGAGGTATATTTTTTGTTTCAATGAGAAACTAGCTTACAGAACCTGATATTGTCGAGTGCTTCCAGGGAAACAAAAATCAAGAGGCGAAGGGATTGGTTGCACTGTAAAGAAACTGTATTAATCAGTAGGGGATGGGGTTAGTTAACAGAAAGAAGACTAATCTGAGATGGTACTCCTAGTCTAATCGTGATAAAACTATGGCATTGCTGAATGATCTTAGGCAATAAACGTAAGGGTTTTTCTTTGGTGCGGGGTATTCTCCGTTTTGAGCACCTCTGCGAGACAGAAACTTTCTACATTTGCTCCCATAGCCAGAGCCTTCGGGAGAGGAAGTACTTGGTAATCTAGGACCTAAGCACTCCGTTTCTCCAAAGCCTGATGTAAGACAGTGCGATGAACTAAACTCCACGAGTTGTAAGAACGTTAGACTTTTCAAACGAGTTATTTAAAGAAAAGTTTCAAGGGGGATTTTAAGATCCATTAAACGCCACATTTATAGCTGGCCTTTGTGCAGAGATTCTAACTTTGGTTGATTCTAGTAGTTGGTCTGTAGACCTCCATCTTTAGAGGAACCCGTCTACTAACGCTCAATCTGAAGGCGTTCTTTTTGTCGGACTTAGATCTAAGGATAAATAAATAGGGTAGGGCTATGTGATGATGCCCTCTCGTTGGACTGCTCTAGATCTTTGGCCCTCAGAGCCAAAGGCCGTGGCTTTAAACCACAATCTAAATCCAAGAGATTGATATATTATATTAGGCCTGTAATCTGTTGTCATTAATGTCCTCAGGACGGCCATAACAGGCGTCTACTTCTGAAGGCTTTTTGTCAAACAGCATGCCTCATTTAAAAAGTAGCTTTCACTTCTATAATTACATTTCTACGATAATGCGAAGGAACACGTTGAGATCTCTACGGATTCAACTCTTAAATCTTTCTGTGGGTCTTCCCGTTCGGAGAAAACCATGCTTTCTTTGCATATTCGTTTTTCTTTCTTCGGCGGAAACGCGACATCGTCCCAGTCTTGCGATAAAAGTTTAGGGATCATGATCGAAAGATATCTCATTTCAGGGATCATTTTAGAGCTGATTTTCAGACATTTTTTTCCTACTTCTACTCATTAATAAATTTATTAAATCAGCATTAGTCAGTAAAGCTAGGAGAGCCTGAAAAAAGAACCGATCGTTTGGACCAGTTTTTACGATGACCTGAGCTAATTTTGATTCCATTGAGTCTGGCATTGCTTCTCACAGTCTTGCTCGGCATTTGTGAAATTACAAACTCCACTGAGCTAAATAGAGAAAAGGGTCAATCTACTTGTCTAAGAGGGGAGGGGGGAAAACAAAAAACACCTAAATAGTCTAAAAACAGGGAAGGACACTACTTGACCCTCGTCTTCTTCTCTGAGCCGAGCCTACTGATGAGAATCAACCATGCACCTTCTACAGCGGTCTGAGTATTGTCTCAGCAACAACATTCAGGAGGTTCACGCTTACTCATACTGAAAATGCACAGAGAGTATTCAATGAATCCTGTGCAAATATCAACCCAAGAATCTACTTTTATGTCTCTTAAATAAAGTATAGAGGTAGACGTTTCTTCTTTGTAAAACTTCACGGACTAAAACCTCTGCTCAGTGAGTATGAGTACATTCATAAAGAGCTAAATGAGGTAGGTATGGAGCAGAAGGTACGAGATTTCAAGAAGTGAAAGAATTCCCTGAGATGGATCTTAAAGAAGGGCGCACAGAGAGGACTGAGAGCAGCTACGAGTCCATTTGGATAGGTCCCCATTGTATAAAGTAGACATATGTTTGGGTGAGTAGTAGTGAATGTGAAAAACGTCTTTTTAGCCTAATCTCAGTCCTCTCTGAACGGCCCCGCCTTTCTGTTGATTGATTCTCTCCTCTCCATTTCCTTCATTGTGGAAAGTTACTGCAAAAAGAGCAAACAGAGGGAGAGAATGCAAAAAAAAAAAAAAAAATAGAGAGAGATTTTTTTTTTAGAACTTGAGAATGCGGTTGTTTCCAAAGTCAACGACAACGATGACTCCGTCGGGCATCACGGCTACCCCGGAGGGGCGGTCCATCTGTCCGTAGCCACTCCCCTGAGTGCCAAATTTGCATAAAAAGTTTCCGTTGGGCTCAAACACTTGGATCCTGTGGTTGCGGGAGTCGGCCACGATGATGCGGTTCTCTTGGTCCACGGCGACGCCCTGGGGGCGCAGAAACTGCCCGTTCCCCGTGCCCTCCGAGCCCAAGAAGCGAGCCGACTGGCAGTCTGGCCGGATGACCAGGAGCCGGTGGTTGTTGAAGTCGGTCACGACGAGGTGGTCTTCGTGGTTGAAGGCGACCCCTCTGGGGGAGTCAAAGTGTTTCCACAGAGCCCCTTCGAAGCCGTACTTGTTGAGGAAGGAACCGTCGGGGGCAAAGAGCTGCACGCGGTGGTTTCTGGTGTCCGAGACCAAGATTTTACCCTCAGAGTTGACGGCCACGTCCCAGGGATAGTTGAACTGCCCGTTCTTGGTGCCTTTTTCCCCAAACTTCAGCAGGAACTGGCCCTCAAACGTAAACACCTGTCAGGCAGAGATCATGAATTAAATCTGTGTGTGTTTACATGAAGAGAGGAGGAAGGACTACAGTTCCCTGTACACCCATAAACTTGATGGGATGTGAAAGACCAACACAAAGTGAAAAGATGAGAAGGTTCAGGGGATACAAAATGGCTGTCCAGACATTTCTGGTCCTGCATGGCAGTGGAAAATGTTAGAGGTTTTTTCACGGTAATTTTGCCGAACCCGGCCAACATACCTGAACACGGTGATTGTCCTTATCAGCAACAATGATCCGTCTCTGACTGTCACAGGCGACCCCGGCTGGACGATCAAACTGACCAGGCCGAGAACCCAAGGAGCCGAATTTATGGTGGAAGGCACCACAAGGCTTGAAGATCTGTTGACAGAAACTCTTTTTTACCGATTGGATTTGAACAGTCTGGCTTTAGGATTTTAAAAAGATAACCAGTTGAAACCAGTTGACCTGAAAGTTACTAAACTGCTAAGTTCAAGAGTTACATCCTGGCTGAACCCTGGAGAGCCAAAGTAAAGAGAAGCTTTCTCAACAAAATGCATCTCATGTCGCTGAACTAGAGTTTAGTTCGGACCTAAAAAATCCAACCCCAGAGCGTAGGTATTGTGTCTGAGCCTGACCCAACTCAGCTAATGAACTTTAATTATAGGCCAGAGCACAAAGAAAACCAGACATAATGAGACTTTACTGCTTTCGATTTTTTGAAGTAAGCAGTGAAACGTCTTCCGTTTTTAGCTTTTGTTTAACATCTTTCAGCTTCATCTTGTTGTAACCGCAGGGCGAATGAAGGGCAAATCTTCTGGGAAGTGATTGATGGGACCCAATCTCAGCTGCTGTTTGACTGGAGATGACTGAGCCGCTGCGCTTGTTGCAGTCTGAAGAACTTCTAATCCTTACTGTCTGTATTTCCTCAATAGATCTCTATTTAGACTAAATAGACCAAAACAACTTTACATCTTGGATTCTCGTTTTGGCAGGTTTATACTTACAGCATAAACGTGCTGTAAGTATTGCAGGTTCATGAAATGCATGACAGAAACCCAAGCCGGCTCAGGTCATAAATCTAAACTCTACACCAAAGCTGCTAAGCGTAAAAACCTCCATGTAGCCCTGACATGTTTAGTGTGACTGTAAAGAGAACGATCCAGCAGACAGCTCTACCTGTATGCGGTTGTTGCTGCGATCCGCCACCACAACATATCCTTCCTTGTCCACGCTGATGCCCCAGGGGCGACACAGTTGTCCGTCCCCCTCCCCCTCACATCCGAAAGACGACACCTGGGATCCGAGGGACACGTAGCTCCGTCCGGACTTGACTGTCACCTGGAAGGGGCTGCCCTGGATGTGCTGGTTGCACACCAACACAGACACCAGGTGCTCTCCCTCCGTTTTTGGCAGGTAACTGACGGTGTAGGATCCATTCTGGTGATCCGTCACCTCCACCGGGGACTGAGAGCCGTCTGCGACAGACATCACCATCGCCGACACCGGGTCGCCGCCGGACAAGCGCGGCTCGCCGTCGTGATCGTATCCAATGACTGTGAAGGATGAGGGTTTCCCGCGCAGTACGTTTTTCAGACCTTCGCCGTGGGCTTTGGTGACGGGGGCAAAGGCGCTGCTGCTGATCAGGCCCATGGATTGGATGGCTATGTACAGAGCCTGTTTGAGCAAATTCACATATGAAAACAGTGCCGTGTATACAACCAGACCAATAAAGCTTGTGATTACTGCAGAGTGAGAGATCTGGCGTCAGTCCCTACCTGGTCTGGAGGTGTGAACATGAAGCGGTCGTCCTCTTGCGGCAGCAGCAGCCCCCTGACACTCTTGATTTCCTGGAGCTGGGTCAGCATTCTCTCCCTGGCCAGCAGCACGTCCAGGTGGTGGCCCTCATCCAGCATCTGGCTCACGGCAGCAATGGTACTATCCAGCTTGGTGAGACTCTGGTGGAGTTTCTCCACCTGCAGGTACAGAGACTTGGCCTTCACCTGACGAATCTTCTCCACCTGGGAACAGAGGGTAGGATTAGAGATGAGAGAACAGCAGGAACATCTCAGCGTCTGGCGTCACTGAGTGAATTTAGCTGTCAGAGTCAATGCAGCGTAAAGGTAATTTGAGACTCAATAAAGACATTCTTAGACCAGATTCCAACAAATCTTCCTTTTCAAAATGGAGCAAAGTTTTATTTTGCGCCACAGTGCCCTCCAAGCAGCCGGTTTGAATTACAGCTTTGAAACAAGAAACTAAAGATACTTTTAGATGCTTTGCCTTTTTAATTGTTTCAGCAAGTTTAAGACTTTTAAACTGAAAATTAAATCAGCTTAATTTACATGGCTTATTTTAGCAACAAGCCAGTTCAAGGTACTTTCTATGAAAGACATAAACAATTATAAAACAAAAATAAATACTCGATTTTGTCAAATTCCACCAAAATCATTACGCAAATTCTAAACAGCTGGGTTTTTAGCACCGATTTAAGGTGTCTCTGCTTCGGCTGTTTTGCAGTCTTCTGAAATTTTGTTTCAGATAAAAGGAGCAGAAAAGAAAAACTTCGTATACAAACTTATATACTGAAAATAATACAGAGCCCAAATACAACATTGAAGTTTACTTATCACTCTTATTTTTATTCAACCAACTCCCTGGACAAAATAAAAATCCCCCAATGAAAATCCAAATGTGCAGTTGTAACATTCAAACCCAGAAAGAAGATAAACAATATCAAAGGAAATGTAGATTCACAGATTCTTTCAAACAGAAACTATATTTAAAAGTTTTTCTGTGCTGCATCACAGGAAATCAGCAATAACTTGTTAAAGATACATTTTACTATAAATTTTTTAAGAGTTAAATTAACTGCAGAGTAATACAAACATGGTTTTGTCACTACAAGCGGCTTCCAGCAGCGTTGGCCTCTAGGGGGCAGCAATGAGCAAATCTAACTTCATTTGTAAAGAAGGAAACCCAAAGCTTTAGCAAAAGCAAATATTGGTCCCCACAGTTATTGTGCAACTGTGTGCCAATATCAGACATTTTAGATTTGTTTTTCTTACAGTTGAACTTTAAGTGAAAAAATGTTTTCTTTTTAAATATTGTCAACAAACTAGAATCCTTTTGGTTTGTAATTCTTACAGATCAATTTTACAGGTTCTTTGAAATAAAAATCTTTTTTTTTTATTAAGAAGCTCATACAGATTTTGCTATGCATTATTTGTGTGAAAAAATAACACAGGAAGCAAACTTTTAAATGTTACATAGCACCTCATTAAAAGGAAGGAAAAAGCTGCATTTCTGATTCTTTAGGGGTCCAGAGCATAAAGGCCTAAAAAGGGTGGAGGCTGGTAGAACCTGAGCCTCACGGACCGGCCTCTCACATCAACTGACAAAAAAAAAAAAAAAAAAAAAAAGTTCAACACAATAGACTGACTGGCTCTTTGTTTCTCTCTGTCCCCTCCCTTTCCAAAGAGGCCAAAAGATCTGAAACGTCAATTTGCATCTGTGAGACTAGAGTTACATTTTATAGATAGTGAGGACAAAGCCTGGAGTTGGGCTTTGTGACAGATACGTAGCTAGTTTTAGTTCCTGGGCTGAAGAGCAGACGGAGGAGAAGAGTGAGCCAGTGTTGGTTTCAGAGAAACAAAGCACAGACGGGAAAGCCAGACGCGGCTCTTGATATTCTGCCATGTTTTAAAGCACCACTTAAATGTTACAACTTCCCAGGTCAGCAAACGTCTCTTCTACACACTTCCAGATGAAGACAGTCACATAAAGTATGTCGAGTTCTGTCTGTAGGAAAGTTGCTGCTGCAGTCTCACAGTCATGAATTTATGTGGAGTTAAGCATTGATGCTGAGTTACAGAGATGAATATCAGTCAACCAAGCATGACAATCACAGAAACTGCTATAATTAGCAACTGTATTTGCGAGGTTTTGTGCGACTTTGGTGGTTCAGTTGCTGAAGCGATTGCAGAAAAGGATCCACACAGGACCTGCAAATGGAGTCCAATGTGGCCGTAAATGACGGAGAAAGAACTGGATAAAGTCACGCCTGTGGAAAGAACCAAAGGTCAACTTTGGAGGAAGAGCACACGGTCTCTTTACTGAGATGTTACCCAAAGCACCAGAGTTTTCTCAAGATGCATGCTACTCTGAGTGAATTGCCCCTCCCCAACCTGTTGCTACATACTTCTTATCATCTGGCTGAAACATTCTGCCTATTCTTACTAGAAAACAGAAGTGGGCCGCTTGGAAATATTTGACATGGAAAACACCCATCGCCAACCCGTCACTGATCTAGATTAAATATGCTTTTGTTTAAACCATAACACTGCAAACCTGTTTTTACTTACGGTCTTCATTCTGTAAGAATCTCATAGTGAATAAATAATGGTTACAAGTCCGTTCGGTTGGAGATGAATTCTGCCACAAAGGCTGTTTAAACACCAGATCAATCCACTTTTGGTTCCATTAAACGCCTGACAGAAATCTATGGGCTTATATTGGTAGGAGAATGGATTGTAAGGACTTTACCTGGTCGTGGATGAGTGGGTTGATCTTATAGTGCGGTAAGTGGGATTAAGGAGGAAACACGGTGGAGACAGCCGAAGCTCTCTCTGATGGAGGGGCGTGAAGGTAAGACGTGCAACGTCACAGCTAAGAACTAAATGTCTCTGGTTTCTTTAATATTAACAAAAATCATTTTAAAAATCAACATGCTGCATAATCAGCCATGTTGGCAAAGCGTTTTTAAGAACCGATATCCCATGAGGTTGTAAAAGTAAATATAATTCTGTTCTATCATAACTTACAGTGATCGTCAAATAAGGTGAATTAACATCTTACTAGAGTTGTGTTTGAAAGAGCAGAAAACAATCCTTCTGAACAATGAACAGTCGGACATGATCAACACTTCTGGGTTGGGCAGGCAAATATTCTGCCTGCTCCCTTTAGGCCTTTTGTTTAACTTGGAACTGTTGCATCTTTGTTTCAGCGGGTTGTTGTGAGGGGCAGAGCCTGAATGAGGATGTGATCACGTTTTTCATCTGATCCAGCAGGAGCAGCAGCGGTCAGAGCTGGACAAACGGCCGTGTGAAACCCAGAGGAAACATGGCCGCCGTCGCTGCAGCGCTGGACACTACGGCTTCTGTGTCACCAGAGCGTTAAAAGGAGAGGCTGACAACACGAGGGGGGCATCATGACACAATCTGCCTGGTTAAGTCAAATTACATCCTAAACAATAAGAATATGTTTAAAAGCTTCAGATGAATTTCTTTAGAAATGGGAAATGTGCCGATACTGGTTTGTAATGTACATACAATGTGATAATTCCATTTTTTATGTGGTTTGTTGAATGACTTTTTACATCCAAAAAAAAGGGATACAATCACAATATAGTAAATACATTTTTGTTGCATTATCTGATGTTATTTTACTGCGGTTGTCAAAAATTACCAATAAAATCCTGCGTGTTAAAAGCAAAATGCATATTAAAAAATACTAAGTGCATTTTCTTATACCGTTTTCTTACAAAACGGTAAAAGAAAAAAATCTGACTTTTTTATTTTTGTAGAAAAGTTCTATAACTAAAGTTTCTCTTCTTAACTAAATCAAAATACATTGTTGGATCATCGTTTTGTCAGAAAACAAGAGGCGACATCTCACTGCGTGGGTTAGAGAAGTCATGTCTCATCTCAAAACAAACACTAATAACAGAATTACTTGTATGCAGGCTTAGCATCTTATATTAGCAGTTAGCATGCTATCCTTAGCATACTGCATTTTCCATAGGGTTCCTAAAACCAGCCAACATTTCTTGGGGTTTTTTTTCCCCCCTAATTCAGCTGACATGTTTCATAAATCTGGAGCTAAAGATGATAAAAAAAGAAACTTCTCTATATGTTCTGTTGAATGTATTTTTAGTTCCAACCTGTGGAAACAACACTGATCTTATTGCATGTAGCATTTGAATGACAGCAACTTGGCTTATAAAAAACAAAAAATGCACAAATAATAATTGAAAAATATATAAAATAATTAAGCAAATGTCACTGTGGACAAATCGAACCTGAACAATGGCACCATTCAACCCACAAAAAACATCGGTAATTTTCAGCAGATCTGCTGACCGGCTGTTCGCTGCTCAGCTGAACGCCTCACGCATTGTTTATTTTAAACAACCATTAACGTGCAAAATTGCAAAACTGAGCTGGAGTCTCCCTCCTGGTTTTTTTAACTCTTCGCTAAAAACTCAGAGCAATTTCATGTCTTTGCAACTTGGAGCTGGACTAAAAGCCCACAAGCATTGAACTTAGAGCGTGAAGAAGAACGTTCACCTCCTTGTGCAAACTAAACAGATTGGGGGGAATCTAAGGAGCCAGAAAGCCACTTCAAAAGAGGAAGAACAGAGAACATATGGCTTATTCCTGACATGAGGCAGAAGGCTATGAACTGTTTCAATAAGATCCCCTCCTGCAGTGTGGAAGAAGCCTCCCGAGTCGGACCAGACCTCCCCCTCCCCGTCTCCATCACCGTCACATTCGATTAGCTGCAGCACCTCCTGAAGCTACCCATATGGTCATCCTTAACAATGAAATTTCACACACAAAGCTGACTCATTTAGCCAACTGCCCCGCACCCCCCCAAACCCACAGGAAGAAATTTATACATTTAACGAGATCATTTCCTGTTTCACCACCACACATGTTCTCCGTCGACCCATTTGGAGAAAAGACCGAGAAATCCTGACGATTTAAGGTGAGGAGGAGTCGATGCAACTTTCACTCGGGAGGTGATACAAAGGAGGTCCTCTTAAAAACATGGAGCCAATAAATAAACGTTGAATGTGTAATATTAAAGATTTACATCAGTTAATCTTTTTCCAGAGAGCAGCTTGTTGCGCACAGCTTTTTCATGCAGGAGGTTTCCACACTTTGAGATTTAATGTTTCTGGAGTTTCCAGTCATTTTTTTTTTGTTTTAAAGGTAAAAAATGTTTCACCTTTTATGAAAAGTAAATATTTTCTATAGTTATTTTTAAATCAGACAGATAGCTGGTTTTGAGTTAATAAAAAAACTGACAAAATCTGAAAAAAACCAAAACGTTTTGCTGAAATAAATAAAAACGTAAAATCTAAAACTACTTGCAACTAAATTGTGTGTTTATAAAAACAAACACTGTACTGCATTGTAAATATAATATCTTCTGTTTTTGTGTTTATGAATCTACTTATTGGCCTTTTGAACTTTTGTGAAATTTATTTTATTCTCACAATTTATTGTAAGAAATAAATTGATTTTATTCCCACAGAAAAGCAGTTCATGCCTGTTGTAGCAAAAATATGGAACATCCTCCTGGTGAGGATGATGAGGAAAAACTTCAATTATTGTTTCATAATAATTCAATAACATGGACAAAAAATGCCATCTTCTGTTGAGTGTTAATCACCTGATCTGTGGACATAATCACAATACAATATTTTGACCTTTTTGAATTCTGAACCTAAAAAAAAAAAAATCAACCAAAGTATGAAAAAACTAAAACTATTCAAAACTGAAAACAATATTCAACTAATAAAAACCCGGAATCAGAATTTAAATTGTACTTAAAGCTAATTGAATTTAAAAAAAAACATCACAACAAAATAAAACTAACCTCTAAGCTATTCTAACCCTGAATAGGATGAATCATTAGCATGGTTAGCATTGTGTCACTACTGGTATCCGCCCTCTGTCATCATTTAGATGTATAAAAAGTAACGAGTGATGCATCTTTTTCTATCTGAAGCTGCTTAGAATGAAACAATGACTAAATCTCTGGTTTTAACAAGTCAAAACTGGAATGGGATGGAGGCGAGCGAAGCTTTATTCCCAGATCCAGAGTCAAACTGCGGCTCACCTTCCACAGGAGCTCACACTCCCTCTCCTCCAGAGCTTTCTTGTGTCTCAGAACCAGAGCCTTCACTTCGGTCTGCACCACCTTGGCCTTGATCTCCACCTGCTCCGCCATGGCTTGCACTTTTTCCATGCTTTGCTGAAAAATAGCAATTAAAAAAATTTAAATAAAACAATTGAACAAGGTACGTGAAAATAAAAGGACGATCAATAAATTGAAACCGAGACACAGGATATGCTTATTGGTTTGTTATTTTACACAAAGTATACATGACCTCCAAAAACAGGAAACAGAGCATCAGAAAACATTAATAGGAAAAAAAAAGAAAACATTTTCCAGGCAAGTGATGGATGAACACCTGCTCATTGTTTAAACGTCATACTTTTATAACAATCGCTGGTTGGAGGCAAAGAAAAAGGAAACATGGGTTAGGAATGGGAAGTTCCTTCACTGCGCATAAAACGATTAACATCCTGCTGTTTGGGGAAATTTTCACTCTTTTAATTAAGTTTTATTTTAGAAAACGTAATTAATAGAGGCAGTGTTGTTTAACGTGAACCTTAACAAACAAATCCAAACGAGAAATGCGACTGTTCCAAAGCACAAGATTAAACAGTAAAAAAATAAATATGGATTGATAATGAAAATAATGAAAGACATTTACTGCTTGAAAAACAAGAGTCGTCTTTAAGCTAGCTGTTAGCTGTTAGCTTTAGCCTATGGGACAAACTAATCTGGATTTAGACTAAATGAGAACCAGAGAATTTATCCTCCATGCAAGAAATGAACTGTTCAAAACAAAAATCCTGAACATGAGAGCAAATGTCAAAAATGATAAAGATAAAACTTTGTCAAAGTGTTAAGAAGGAATATAAAACATTTCTTTGCTTCTCTTAAAAGAACTGAAGCTGTTTCCCCCCCACCCAAAATAAATAATTCATATTCCTATAAATGGACATTTTTTTCTGTGCTTTTCATTTGCAAGTCTTTTTCAATGACATGTTGGCAAAGAGTCGAGATGAAGAAGCAACTGAAATAAGATGAGAGGTCCACAAAGTTGCCTAAAAATGCCAGACGGCAACATCCTTCCTGACTGCGGAATATTTTTCACCAGGTTCTGGAACGTTTGGAGAGGATGAGACGTTAGAAAGCCTGAGAAGAGCAAATAAAGAGGTCGCTGAAAGTGTGATTTTCTCTACTGTAATTAAATACTATTTCACGAGATTTTTAAAGATTTGAAATTAGGAATAAAAATTAGGAAATAAATTAGGAATAAAAACCTTTTATTGTTTGTCTTTTTTTTTTGTTCCAATTGCAAAAGTGAACACAATTTTAAACTTTACAGAATATTTTAATGAGGCAGGAATTTAAAAAGGAAATGATTTTGTTGTACCAGCCTGGATACTGTTTGGTCTTATTTTACAGGCCAACATTAAATAATCAAACTTTAAAAGAAAGGCGCCCCTTTTATTACTACCTGATGCAATAAAAAAAAAAAAAAAAGAAAAAAAAAACGGGCCGTAGCATTTACAACGCACAATTTGGCCTAAATGAGGAGTATTCTCTTTGTCTCCTTCTGCCCACTGGGTTTTATCAGGGCCTTTTTCCTCTGGCATCTCCTGGGAGGTCACGAGGTCAGCTGGACCTCACAGGCTCCAAGGGGAGGTGGGATAAGGCTTCCTTTGTCATATCTGCCACTGAGATCAAAGGTCACCTAAACCTCTACAGGTCGTGATCCGCAATCCCTGTCTTAAGACGCATACGGCCCACCCCCATCGCACCCCGGCAGAAACAAAGGCGACCCAGCGGGCTCTTTCTTTTCTCTGGCCGTGTAGCGCGATGTGGCCGGCAAAAGGAACAACTAAATCAGGCAGGAAGGGAAGGAATTAACGGGGAGCTAATATTGCTGGAGACAGGAGTCTTTAGGGACATTTTTTTAACTCTCTGCAACTCGCTGCTCGTTTCTCCAGACCTTTCCACCAACGGTCATTCTACAACGTTTACTAAAGTATTATTTTTCGCATTTCATAACGCTACAAACATGCACCTTAGCGCATTTTATTAGGATTTAATGTACGTAAAACAGAGAGCAGATGTTCAAAGAAAGCTTTCAACATTGTTTACGAATGAAATTTGAAAAGTGTGACACAGCAGCTTTTCTCTCTTCCATTTATCCGATACTCCTTCCAGGCTTTGTGTCGCCATCAACGCTCCCAAAGGAGCACAGCTTGGCGTACAAAGACAGCCGAACCAACCAATAAAAAAAAAAAATCAGAGCAGAAGCAGAGAGTTTTGACCAACTAGGAGGTCACAAGTCCCAGGTCAGAGGTCAGGGGAGATAATGGGTGTAGAGTGGACGGAAATTTCCTACCTCAGGGGACAGAAGCGTATGCCTGTGTTTACATATTATCTGGCGTCAGCGTTTAGTCCCGCAGTGACCTGGATAGAAGTGGACAAACAAGCCGAACGGCTCAAGGTGCTGCTGGACGCTGCGACTCCTGGCACACATCCTGCAGCTTTATTTGGTGAAACTTAACCTCACTGAAGCGATCAGCATTTATTTTCCTTTACAAATGGAGCCTAAATGTTGAGCGAGTTTCCGACACGTGGCCTGTGATATCTGGGAATTTCAGAAGAATCCAACAAACACCCGCAGTGACATAAGCACTCCGGCAGAAAGATACGAAGCTTGATCCGACCAGACGAGGGGTCAGGCTGAGAAAATGGATAGGTGGGGCACATGCTCCGTGTGCTGGAGATAATGCATGTCCGAATGTCATATGACCTCAGTGGAAAAGCTCGTGTTTCATGTTTTGGGGCGAGTATTTACCAAGGTCACAACTCTGCCCCACCTTCCAGGCAAATTAGATAACAGCCGCGTTTCTGCCCCTGATAACTCTGCAGGTTTCAAAGCTGCTTTTTGGAGTCGCTCCTTTGCCTCTGTTGTCAGAAATTGTTGATTTGAACTTTACATTATGGACAAAGATTATGCAATAAATAACGCTGTCTGCAAAGAGTAGACTATTTATTAAAATTATAAAAATTATTTGAGTTGAAGTTGTGTCTGAATGTTAGGTTATGCTGAAAATTTCTATCAAGAATTTTTTTTAAACTGGAGAAACTGGTGACAGGAACCAGACAATTTTCAGCTTGTGCCCATTGGAAACTTTACAAATCCTTTCTGTCCATGTCAGGCAGCTTATTCAGTTAATTACTCAGCTGGTTAATGGACTGGATGGTTAATGTTTGAGGAAACAAAACAAACATTTTAGTCTTTTAACAAACCTATGTGTATGGGGGAATGGAAACTCTTCTGATTTTTCAACCAACAATTCTAATTTGGTTGTGTTGGTCAATTTGGTTCCTCATTCAAGCAGAGGCTAACGCCAAATCTCCATTGTCAAGTCTCACTCTAGCCGGTTCATGTTTGGTTCAGATCTGGCCAAGTTGGGCGGGCCTCTACTGGCAGTGCGTTCCTAACCATGTGGGCAGGAACATGAGGGTCCAGCAGCTGTAATCGATGCACCAAAGTCAATTAGCTCAAGCAGACTTTGGCGTCAAATCTCCCGGTGTATCTGTTCGTTGGCGGTTGCCCCGTCCGGTCGATGCTCTTACTTGAACAAGTACTGCCTTCGCTTATCTTGTTCATGGACCAATCAACAAATCCGGTCTGCTGACAATTAAATTGCTGGGTCCGGTTTGTGCCGTCCCAGAGGAGGCTCCAAAGAACAGAGAAGAACCGGACAGAGACCACAAATGCAGACAAATTAGTCATAGTTAAGGTTTGATGTATGGAGACCGTTCCTCTCCACTCGCAAATTCTGGAGGTAATCTATGATAAAACTCTCTCTGTCGGGGAAAACGTGGGAAAGCGGTCGGTCACGGTGGTCAAAGTCTTATCTCAACATATGTCTGCATTAAGATGGCCTCCAGAAAGCCTCGTTTTTCCAGTGAAGGAGATGCTGCACCTCACCATCACACCAAGTCCCTCAACAGCCATGCAGGAAATCGAAGTGTTGACCAGGCATGCTCCAAAGCATTGTTAGAAAACATCGATTATTCTTCAGCGAAAACAGAATCTGACTACCTTACCATTCTAATTTCATTTTAAATTCTCAGTTTTTTCCGATTCGCCTGTGTTAGGATTACTTAAAAATTACATTTTATTTCTCTAGGTAAAGACATTATCATGTACTGTAAATATGAACATTTCTAAATTTGCAATATTAAAAAAAGTTGTTTTTTTAACACTATGCAGCAAATTTGCACAAAGCTTAAAAATCGATAAGAATCAGTGTTAGCGGCAGATCTGAGCACTGCCAGCCCTGGATAATCCTCCTCCCTAAAAACATTGTTTTCACATATCGGTACACAAACAGGCATTTCATCATTATTTTTAAAAAAAATATTTGTATGAAGAAATCTCAAAAAAAAAAAAAAAAAAAAAATGCAACAGAATATTTTCTGCTCACTTTAAATAATTGATCGTAGTTTCAATGCTTTTCCTTTCCTACGTATTTTCTGACTCTTGCTTCCTAATCACCTTTAAAAAATGCCAGACGTCAACAGTTTTTTGATTTTCTAGTTAAAGTCATGACGTAAATGTCAGATGCAGATAAAAAAAAAATGCATGTTATGGCGTTAAAAGTCAAACTCTTAGAGATAAACGTCTGGTGCCTTTAAACTACAGCAGCCGTCAGCAGCTTGAAGAAAATAGAGAATCCTTCTGTTTTAGTTTAACACCTAAAACTGGAAACTTTTCCAAAAACATTCAGGCAACAAAAACAAGAAAATAATACTCTGCTTCTAAATGGACATACATTTCATACTTCTGTTTCAACGAATGATGAAATGCTAAACGTTTAGCCTGCTGGTACCAGACTCGACCCGTTTGCAGCTTTTCAGTGAAAAGGAAAAACACGACCGGCCTCCACCCCCCTCTCATACGTTCAGATAAAACCGGGATGTAAAGAAAGTTCAAGAAGGTGCAACCTAAACTATAATCATGTAAATGAAGAGGCGTAATTAGCATGCGCGTATGTGTGAGAGAGTTGGGTGGAGTGAGATGTGGGTGGGTGAAGGAGTGAAAAGGGGAAGGGCAAGTATTCCACTTCTTTAAAAGAAGTGGGTATTTTTCCTTTCTCTGAAATCCTTTAAATACCTCACCTACCCTCCCCCAGTGCACTCTGTGAGACTCCTCCCTGTCTTCCCCGTCCTCCCCCTCTGACCCCGAGCCCTGCCCCCGCCGGAATTCAACTCATGCGACCCCACCCCCTTTCTAAGGGCCAGCTGGACACCTCTAACCCCGGGGCTCCCCGGCCGCCCGGTACTGGTCACTCTCTCAGATATCCAAGCGGAGAGGCTCTGATGTCCGGGCGCGCTAGCTGCTAGCTGCTGCTGTGATTTTTAAAGGCACAGCTGCTCCCCTCAGGTCCTACTTAGTGCTTGGAGGAGATGGATGAGGGCAGCTCTGGGAGCTTTAATCTTGTATGGGAGACTTCTCCTTTGTTAGCAATCTGTTTGGCCTATTTTATTACAGTGGAGTGATTTTATTTACTACTGCTATTAATTTGACTATGTTCTGAATAAATGTCATTCCTGCTTGGTGTCGCACCCCGTTGTTGGTTTTTGGGTTTAAACTAGCCATGGAAATCTAAATTTTCACAAAAAAAAATGTTTCACATTTTCTGGCAAGTCTGGGCAATATGGACTGAAAGTTTCATTACAATATTTTGTTGTAAAATAAAGTATTTTACAGTGAAAACCAGAATTAATTTTCTTTCTTAGGTAACATAACTTAATGGCACAGCAGTCATAACACAAATATTGCTCTTGAAAAAACGTGCACTAAGTATCTTTTGGACAAAAATTCACACTTCATAAAAACGCGACATAAATAATTGGAATTTATTTACTTTATCACTAACCTGGACACAATAACTGCATTTAATCACAGTTTAAAAGGTATTGCTTTTTTTTATTCTTTCAGTGGGAAAAAAAAGGGGAGAAAATAGAAAACGTAACAGTTTGGTTTCTTTTCTAAACATCATGACAATGAATCAAAATTCTCATTATGATGAGGAATAATAACTGAGACGCCGTCTTGGAGTTTCCTCTGAGGCGACTAAACAGCGGTGAGGAAATGTCGTTTGTTTCCAGTTAAACAGAAACTATTCTAGCAATGAAGGTTGAACACCGACAGTCAGGGAACCGAAACATGTTGAGAGGAGACCCAACACGCCCTCACCTGGACGGCCTGTCGTCCCTGCTGAGCGTCTGTCAGCAGCTGGATGGTGATGGCCCTGCACTCCTGCATGGCGTCCTGCAGGTAGACGAAGGTGTGGCCCATGTGACGGCCCACGCTGCACTCCCTGCAGATTGGCATCGAGCAGGTCTCGCAGAAGAACAGGAATACCTGCACAAAAACCAATGCAGGGGGGGATTAGTTTCCACGTTTGGGAACGCGCCACCATTTTATTTTAAAGATTACATGCGACTGTCGCACAGGTTTTATCTACAGCTGGTTACATTACAATCAAGTTGCTTTTATGATTAACAGAAAAAACAAACAAAAGATACTGAGACTACACTTGAAGTGATTAAGACTGGCTAAGAATGAGTTTTGATACAAAAATTAAGTAGTAACACAGGGGGGAAAAAGAGTCATCAGAAAAATAAAAGGTTGTAATCCCAGAAAGTAATGTGAGAATAAAGTCCATACAAGAAGTCGTAATATTTGAGGGATCACAATACTCAACAAAATGTCGCAATACATCAGAAAACGTTGTCATACGGGACAAAAAGTCAGAACAGAATAAAGTAAAAACACAAGAATAATGGATGATAAAGTCAAAATAATAGGATGAAGTCATAATGAAGTAATTTAACAGCATGTTGCAAAAACACAAGAAAAAAGTCCTAATAATATGAGAATAAAGTTGTATGACAAAAACCAACACTAGAAAAGTTATGATGCAGGAATGAGATGTTTATTAACAGAATAAAGATGTAAAAATATTATTAGGGTATTTACTTAATAAAAGTAGCTGGCCTACTTTATGACATCAATCACTTTTTGTAATAATATGAGAAGTTGTAAAACAATAAAGTCGAGATAAAACCATAATAAGGTTGTAATACTAGAATGCAGAAGTAATTTTGAGAACTCCTCAGTGAAAATGTTTAAAATGATGCAGGTTTTATTTTTGGTTTCTTTTCCCCACACAGATCCTCTTCCGTTTCAAACTGAGGTGTTTAACAATACAAAACGAACCCGGCACCATGGCGAACTAAACACCTTGGTGACAAACACTTCCCCCACTAACACAAAGCTAATTAAAAAGAGAAGGGCCATGAATGCTAACGCAAGCCATCCATATGCATGCGTTGCCAGGGAGCCTCACATCCTCAGCCGCCCCGGAGATCGTTTCTCATTCAAAACACAGCCGGAGGAGGAAAACGGGAACCAAAGGCAGGCAAAGCCAGATCAATAGCCAACATATGAGGGCGCAAAAGACTCCACTTGAGTTTTACAGGCAATTCCAAATCATAAAAATATATATAGACGTTTGATATTTAAACCATTTGCATGTGCAATTACAAATGTTTAATGTATTCCAATTAACTTTAATGGTGACTGAGGTTTTTCATTCATTATGTCTTAAACCAACAACAAAATGTCTTACAACCGATTCCCTCCAGCAGTGCCTGTGTGTGTGTGTGTGTGTGTGTGTGTGTGTGTGTGTGTGTGTGTGTGTGTGTGTGTGTGTGTGTGTGTGTGTGTGTGTGAGAGAGAAATACACACATCAACCATGTCTGCCTCTAATCACTTGTTGACATTGTCAGAGCTGCTGTTTCAAAGCAAACATGGCGGAGGAACTCTGAAATTAGACACATTGTCTGCTTTATTTTCAGCTAAATATGTATTTGTGGAAACATTTGGACGGATGAGTGATTGATTATCTCTGTGGCTGTGTGTGTTAATGGGCAGAGTTTATGCAGCCGACTGGATCAATTCTACGTCAGCTGGTTGTAATCATCTAAACGCAGCAGATTTCAATCAGACAAACATTTCTGGCTTTCCTCTCTCCAGTAAAGTGTTTTGCAGGAGCAGATCGTTTACACTGGGGGAAACACTCAGGGTTGAATTTTTGTTCATTTCTCACTAGGTTTTTTAATTAATAAATTCATGCGCAACATGTTTGTTTTGTTTATTCTCGGCTGCAGTGGGCGCTTTTTACGTACATTTCACTTGAAAGCAGAAATGCGATTTTATATTGTCGTAACGTGCAAAACATGAACATTTCTTTAAAAAAAGCTTTTCAGAGAAAATATTTAACTAGATTATTCAATTTATCAAAAAATTTGTAGATTAATAAAAAAAAAAAATCACTGCCCTACTTCACATTTATTTGATCAAGCTTATTTATTGCAACAATTTCATTGAGTCGTTACCTTTTGGTAAAAAGAAAAAAACAGATTTTTATGTCGATTTACATTATTTAATCACTACAAAAATTGTATTTTGTCGTAATAAGTTTCACTTTTTGGAATTTAGATGAAAATCAAACCAAAATGAATGACTAACATTTGCATTTAGAAATGATTCCAGTAAATTCTGGAAAAACTAATTTTATTTTTTATACTTGTTTTAATTTTCTACAAGAAAAAAAGCCGATTCGATTCATTTTAAGAACCTTGTTGCAAAGAGATTTTATTTCAGAGCCGGAAAAGGCTTTATAATGAATTGGCCCCAGCTTAAAAACAAGACAAAAAGACAGAATCCTTGCAGGGTTTTTACAGAGGAAGCAAAATAATAATAAAAAAAAAGCACTTTCAAAAGCCTGACCAAATTTCCCCGAGGAAACAAACGTGTGATTTAACCTTTGCTGTTAAAAACTAAGCCTTGCTGTAAACCCCCCACTGCCTGAACGCCGATTGGTTGTAATAGGAAGTTAATTAAATATGCACCGTGCGTCACGTCCCAAAGAGACTCGAGATCAATGGCCTCCAATAGCAGCAGAGCGGAGAGGATGGAGAGGGGCCTGCAATCAATCCATCAATATTGGCGGTTCCCTTGGGGAGCGGTCTAATCTAATGAGTCACACACACAGAGATACACCTCCCCCTTTACTCCCCTTACTCCTCCTCCTCCTCTCTGCCTTCAGCTTAACCTCCTCTTTGGATCCTTTTCTTGACGCCTCCCGGGCCTCCGCCACAGTTTCGGCTCGGCCTTCCTGCTTTCCCGACCGGGACCGGCCCGGTTCGGCCCGTCCCTCCCCCGCTGACATCCCCTGAATTCCAGAGGGAGCCGGCGCGCGCGCGCGCGCGCACACACACACACACACACACACACACAAAAGGCTGGAATGCTGCTGGGTTGGGGTGGAGGAAGAGGGTGATGGATGGAGGCTCAGGGGGACAAATGCTGATCGAATCGGTTATTAAACGATCAACCAGGACGATGATAATAAATCGTCTCAGAAATGATTACGATAAACAATAATGTTGTTTTGAGACAATATTCAACCAATAATGATGGCTTATTAACGCCCAATCAAAGATTAACAAAAACCATTTTGTAAAGAAAGTTTAACACTGAAACTGGAAACATTTCATACGTCCAAAATAAAGCAATATTAACATGGTTATAAAATCTTGCATTGGTGTGGACAGGGAGAACAGTCAAATGATGTTTCTCAAAACATCAAATTAAAAAAGGTTAATATTAAAATGGGATCATCTCCTTAGCAGCTGTTGCCCAAATGAAAATTACTGTGTTCATTTTAATTTATAAACCTTATTAATTGTTTATTGTGACAGTTTTTAATCATTTACTCTGTTCATTATCTGATTAGTATTTAATTTTTTTCAGTTTTACATCTAGAAAACTAGACAAATCTGAATATTTCAACCCAGTTTCAACTTTTTATTTATTCTGCTCATTTCCTGATTATGTGATAATAACTCAGCATTTTTCTACCTTTACATCTAGAAAACAGACAATTCTGAAAATTTTCCACCCTATTTCATAGCTCCAAATATTGTTGCCATGTTTAATGACTGTAATTTTCCAACAAAGACCAGAAGGACCGTGGAGAGAAGAGCAGTTCTGCTTTTGCAAACAGCTGCAGGCCCTCGTCAACGCAGCGTCCAGCCTGGGTGTCGTCAGCAGCCTCCTCCAGGTGAAACGCGCTCCCCTCTGGGCGCCGGAGATTACATAATACACAGGCATCTTGGAAAACAGCTCAATATTATTGATCCACACAGAATACAGGCTCTTCTCACAGGGCTTCATGGAAAGGTTCTGTTGTCTCCAAGTGTTTTTTTTTTCCCCTCCTTTTCCTTTTCACTTGGCATCTAAAACAGTAAAAGATTTTTGTTTTTGCTTTCGAATGATGAGACGGAGTGTCACGGAAAGTCAGTGCAGAGGTGACTCAGAAATGGAAAAACACCCCCCACACACACAAAAACAGAGTGGAGGTGGGCGTGGTGCCGAAGCTGTAAATTCCTCAGGAACCACCCTGCGAACGAGGCTTTGAGGCAGAAATGGCTCCTCCAGTCATTTAGCAATTGCAGCAGGAAAGCAATCAACAATTTGGAGTGTGACATGGAGCTGAAGTCACAAATCCCGCGCCGACGTTTTTAGTGCTGGGAGATGAGAAGCGGGTCGTAGCGTTTGGTTAAGCGTGCCGGAGGCTTCTTTCTTCCTTCTCTCGATTCATTTGGACGCCATCTTTTAAAGTCCATTTTATTCGGTTTTCGCAATGTGAAATGTTTTATTTGTAAGGGCGGGGAAAAGTGGAATGGCTTTCTCTAAGTGGCAGTGTGCAGCAACAACTGGGGAGGGGCAGAACAGCAGCGGGTTAAATGCTGGTGTTTTCTCACCGACTCATTCCTGGAAACAAATAGTGCGTTTAAAAATGTCATCATCGAGTCATGATGCAAGACCTGTTGAGTCATGATGCAAGACCTGTTTCTGTAAAACATACCTCACAACAGGTATTTTAATCATTTTTCTTAAACTTTATGCACAGTTTCCATGTAAGCAGAATGAATTATTCAATCTAAGACTTCTTCTATGTCTGTTCTTCTTCTACTGTCCAAAATGATATTTTATGAGGTGAAGGCAATATGGACTGTTTCATCACAATATCTTTTGCCACTATTTTTATCGTAACGACAAAAGTTACAATAGGAACCATGTATTTATTCTTTTTTTTATGTAATTATATGACTGGCTGTTATAACCCTACAAACTAATGCTCCTCTTAAAAGACATTCCCATCTATCATGCACTTATTTGGGACACAGTCGCAAAAAGAAGTTTGATTTATATCACGAAATAGAACTTCATTTTTATATTTATTGGTATTCATTGATGCTTTCATTGAACTAACAGTGCTGGGGGAGGAA